TATCAGCCAGCCAGTTGGTACTTGCATTGCTTCTCCATTTTTAGCTACTATGCTATTAATATTTTTGTATGTTTTTAAAGAAACAGGTGTTTTCCATTCTCTTGAGTATACCTAGAATTCTTAGATCCCATGCTAACTCCGTGTTTAAAGTATTGGGGAAAGGCTCATCATTTTCCTAAAGCCAGTGCAAGAGTTTACAATCCTTCCCACAATGTACAACAGTTCACTTCTCCATAGCCTCAGCAACAATGGTCCTTCCTCCTCCTCCTCCTCCTCCTCCTCCTCCTCCTCCTCCCCCCTTTTTGGTGCAGAATCAAACACAGAGTGTCACATGCATGAAGCAAGTACTGTCACTGAGCTACAAACTCAGCTCCTGTCCCGCTCTGATTAGAGCAGTGCAGCTAAGGAGGTTAAGGAAGTCGGTTCTCTCAGGCTTATTTACATTATCCTATTAGTGGTGTTGAAGGTCTTTCCTTATGCTAATTGGGCCACTTAGAGACTAAGAAACGTTAGAGAAATGTCTACTTCATTTATTTAGAAACTGGGTTATTAAGATCTAAGAGTCCCTAGGCCAGTGAGAGGGCTCAGTGAGTAAAGACACTTGCTGAGGAAGCCTGATAACCTGAGTTCAATCTCTGGGACCCACATAAACGTGAAAGGAGAAAATTAAAGTTGTCCTCTAACCTCCAAGTATATGCCACGGCATGCACACACACACATATATACATCGTGCACACATACAATAATAATACATTTTTTAAAGATCTAAGAGTCTATTATATTCTCTGGATCTATTACATTGTATGTTCAAAGTCTGCTGACCTATTACACTAGCTTATGTCAAAATTCCATTAATTTTCAAAGTATGTTCAAGTTCAGATACATAATTCAGATACATATTTTTACTAATTACATCAAAACTTCACCATAAATTTGAAATTGCACAAAAAAATTAAAGCCATGGTAGCTTTCTCAAATAACTCTGTAAGGTATAGGCGAAGAGACTTGCAAAGACATATGTAATGTATGGATCCTATCTAAATACTGACCTGAAATGTTGTGTAAGGGAGTGCAGCTTACATCCTAGTTACTAACACTAAGAAACTACTGGTAATTAAATGGAAAAATAAAAGATGGTGATGTTTAAAAATCCTTAGACTGAAATAATTCCTAGCTAAATAATTTGCTTTCTAGGAATTGCTTCAAAATGAATCAAGGTTCCAAACACAGGTAGCATGCATATGTTAAGATTTCCATGAACCAAACAAGTTGAAATGGACTCATTACACTATTTTTCTTTTGAAATTTTTCATTAAAAATTTAAAAGACACAACTGCATAGAAAAGCACAAGCAGGTTGTCATGTTTTATTTATTCATTTGTAGTAGTGGACTGAACTCAGGGCCGGCCTCACATGCTAGCCAGGGACTGTCTGCAAGCTAAGCTTCATCCCAGTGCCCTTTAACCTGTGACCAGGGACCACTGTAGGCTGAAGCAACCTTATACAGCTGCACAGGCAGCTGAAACAGAACGGTAACTAAATCTTTAAGAATTTAACTAAAATCTCAAAGATACCTCAAAAGTAAAAGATCTGAAAACTTAATGAAGTGATAACTGCAGGTACTTCGTGTCATTTTAATGACCCTCACCAGTGATTGTCTAACATCACTTACACTTTGTCAGCCAGAGCATCAGCCACCAGCACCAACCCTCAAACTCATCTCTCAAACACTCACTTGCACTTGCTTCAGAAAACACTGGCTTCGTGGAGGAGTGTAGCCTAATTTCACTTCTTTTTACCAATTCTACAGCAATTTCTCAGACCTTCTGAAAGTCACCCAGATTGTATATCTTGTAGATAAGAATGCTAATTTGAAAAATATATCCCCCAGTATGGGCATGTGTATGAAGGACCGACAAGGATGTGGAGAAACAGCAATACTTGTGTGGTGTAGAACATTTCTAAATGGTACAGCCACAATTCCAATGCTAAATATGTGAGAGAAATTAAAATGGATCCACACAAAGACAAATAGAGGAACATCCATAGCATCATCACTTTTTTAAAAAGTAAGACACTTTAAATGTCTACCACAAATGAGTACAGAGATGGGATCTGGTTCACTCCACAGTGGAAGCATGCAGCAGTCTGAGGAGCTAACCACATACAAGGTACAGAAACAGCACACCACAAGGTGATGCAAAAGTCTAGGAACTGCATGACTCACCCTAAAAGGGAAAATGTATTCAGACAGCAGATCAGCCGGGTTGCCTAGGAAGGGACAGGAGCGGCTCAGGGGACATTTCCAGTCAGGTGACAATGTTCTAAAACTTGATTGTGATGATACAATGCTCGAATCTGCTGAGCCACTGAACTGTGTCCTGCTAACGACTGAGTTTTACAGCACACGGATAATCCTTTAATGGAGCCATTTCTGGTGTTGGCACCAATGAACTGTACCCTCGGCTTCCTGTGAGCCTATGAAGAGCTATGAAAACAAACACCAAGGAAGACTGCTAAAGCTCTGGCTGGCAGTCCAGAGACTCAATAAGAACGCTAATGACGGGAGGACAGTCCACATTTGCTTGAAAGTGTGTTGCCTGCAAAGGATCCTGTCTCTACATCCTGTTCACAGTGATGGTGACTGTCTGCCGAGTACACCACGCAGCCTATAGAAACGTCCTCCACTGTTCACGGCAGCACAGCATTTTGGCCGTTTTATACAACTGTTTCACTCTAAACTTACCCCGTCACTATTGCTATTTTCTTTTGGAAAATTTCTTGCTTGATATCACCCAATTTTTTCATTAGACAAAATTTTCTTAGTAACCCAAAATAAAATTTTAATATTTGCATTGAAGATGCCTTTAAATACACACTTTATAGATGTAAAACGGCTGTTCTTTCTCTTCTTCCATATCTGCTAATTAAGCTGTTCCTTGTATGCTTCAAACACTTGCTTCAAATTAAACTTAGTTTTCACTATTTGGGTTCAAAACTCTTCTGTTTCCTTGAATTTGCTGGATTCTTTCTTCCAGGAAGGGCCAGCTTTCCTCTTAGTCTCCATGTCTTTCCCTTGGCTGGCAGCTGTGTCAAAGAGGTAACGCTACTTTACCCTCTCAGTCAACTGCTAACATATCTTAGTGGCAGGTGTGCAGCTCAGGAGGCCCTGGGTTCCCTCTCCAGCACTGCATACCAGACATAGGGGTTCATGCCTGTGATCCCAGCATTCAGGAGGTAGAAGAGGAGGGTCAGGAGTTCAAGATCATCCTCAGTTACACAGTGAGTTTAAGGCCAGTCTGGCTATGTGAGACCACTTCAAGAGCAAAACCAAAACATTTTAAGACACAAATATTAAAAAACAACCAAAGGAACTGGAGGGATGTCTGGGCAGTTAAGAGCATTGGCTGTTCCTCCCTAGGATGAGTTCCATTCTCAGAAGCTACATGGTGGTTCACAAACATCTGACTGCAATCTCATGGGATTTAACGCCCTCTTCAGGCCTCCTTGCACAGGATGCACAGACATACATAACGGCAAATCACCCACACATGTAAAATAAAAGGGGGGAAGAAAAACAGCCCAAACTGGACATGGTACCACCTGCCTTTAATCCCAACATTTGGGAAGTTGAGAGACAGAATTAAACATTTGAGGCAACACTGGGCTATAGCAGTGATCCATTTCCAAAAACACAAAACCAAAACAAAGTTTAAAAAATCTAATCCTAACAAATCTCATACAAAACACTTATAAAAGAGAAAAGCAGTAGGATGTGGTGGAACACTCCTTTAATCCCAGCAGTCAGGAGGCTGAGGCAGGTGGATCATTCTGAGTTCACGGCCAGGCTGGTCTACACAGGAAAATCCCGTCTCAAAACAAAACCCACACTACCAAAACAAGCAAACAACAACAACCACAACAGAACAACCCATCCACAGAAGATGAAGCGCAAACGCAAAGCTCTGCAGTAGGGACATCTGTATCTGATGGCTCAAATGCTTTACATTATAGCAGACAAAGAAGTATGAACTACTTGATGATCTTGGAACAGCATCACTGCAAAAAAAAATCAAACAGTTACTGATACAAGTTGCTTGTGAATGAAGAGAAACTTTGTATACACTTAAACATATTTTTAGTCTCAGTATAAGAGTAGGGGATATAGCTGAGTAGTTGGTACAGGACTTGCCTAACACACACAATGCAGGCTTTGATCCCCAGCCCCAAATAAACCAGGTGTGGTAGTACACACCTGTAATCCCAGCACTCAAAAGATGGGGGCTGGATGATCAGAAGTTCAAGGATATCCTTGGCTACACAGTGATTTTGAGAACAGCCTGGAATACATGAGACTCCATCTCAAAACAGTAACAACAAAAGCAAAAGTGAATAACTACAAAGTAATTCTCTTTCAATCATCCTACATAAAACCATTACTTTTTAGGCAGCTATAAAAGCTGTCTTCTTTTCACCATAATTGACTTATGAGATTTTTTTTTTTTTAACTAACCTGGGGCTGGAGAGATTAAAGTCTGCTTGTTGGTCCTGTCAGATCTCAACAGCCACATTAGGTGGCTCCCCACTGCCTGTAACTCCAGCTCCTGAGGATTCTATGCCTTCTTTCAGCCTCAACCTGTACCTGCACCCATGTGTACATTCCCCCAACAGAGGCATATAATTAAAAGTGAAAAAGTCAACCAAAGAGAAGTAAAAAACTGCATTAACACCAATACTGAGCCCAGGGCAAAGTTGTCAAAGAGCTGATCTGCAGGAAATGGTACTTTCCAAACAGGTAATGTAGAAACTATGCCAAGAGTGCTCTGAGAAAACCATCTGTGACAGTTCTGAGCTTGTCTGTACCTGCCTCCAGAGTGTGGTACAAATAACATGAATTCAGTTAGCCAAATGGAACAAATGGAAACCAGAAATTAACTTCACTAAATTCCTAAGAAATAAAAATTACTGCCATGATTATAAAAATAGAAGCAATGAAAGGGTTGAGAAATACACTCAAGTTTATAATCAATTCAATGGTGAGCCATAATTGGACCCTGTTCATCATCTGTTATATAAAAACCACAATTCAGTTATTAAGATATATGATAAATAGTTCACATTTAAAAACATTTATCATTACATTATCAAATTTGATAAACTCTTATCAAAACATCTCAGCATTCAATATAAACCATATTATTAAAGTTTAAGGTAACAACAACAACAACAAAAAATCTGGAGGTGTCAGGTAAATATTTCCTAATAAATACACAATTGAACATTCAGAGCCACATAAATTCTCTACTAAATGTTGAATCAGTTTTACAAAGGCATACTTTGTAAACAATTATAAATTTTCCCAACACCATTTTCCTTTCTTAATTCCAAAATTGTTCTACCAGGTCAACTTGCTCCTATTTGTATGTCAAAATTACAGGCTTCCAACCAATCATCCTAACAGCAACATACCTAAACACCTAAGCAGGGTGAGCAAAAATGACTCAAAACTTCTCATGATCAAAGAAAAAAATAAGTAACTCTTCACGTAGATCTTTGAGAAAAAAAATAGTATACCTTGTTTAAGAATTGTTCAGGAGAGATATTACATGAAAGGTTTCCGATGTTTTCATTGAGTGAATTTACTTTCACTCACTAAAACTTTTGAAGTGTATGATGAAGGATGCACACTCACAATGCCACAGTATACAACTAGCACAGTTCATAAATAAGCAGCCGAGTACAGTTGTAAACATTGATAGTAAACACTGTCTTCTCTTCCCCCCGAACGTGCCATTTCAATGCTCTTCCATGAATAATTACTCTTCCTGGAAGTCCTCAAGTATATTTTAGTTTTGTGAAAAAACTAAAACACTGAAATAATATGTGAAAAGATTTAGTCACGGCAATTTCACTGAAGCTTTTATTGCCTCTGTTGGTGATATGACAGGGGTTGTAAAAGACACACTTGAGCTTACAGAGATATGCAGATGATAGTCACTGAAGATAACCTTCATCTCAAGTATTTTTATATGTGGGTACTTCTCATTTTACACATTTTACTATTTAAAAAGCATTACATTTAGAAATGTGTACCTGTTCTGACATTTGGCAAAAAGTAAACTCTCCCTATGGTTCTGTCTGGGGAAAAAAAAAAAAAAAAAGATTCAGCATGGAGACCTGACTCAAACAAAGACCAAAACCTGTGAACTGAAGCAGTTAGGCTGGCTGGGTGTGTGTGTCGTTTCTCTCCAGACTCACTGATGCCTCTCCCCCAACAGTGTAAGCATTTCAGTACAAAACATTCCCTATAATCAGACATTTGTCCTCAGAACAAACACATTCAATCAGTCTTCTTTTCTGAGCCCTAGTAATAGTTTTGTTTAATTCTAAGATGCCATCATGGTGAACAACCTTAACTTTTTTTGCTACATAATTATATTAAAGCTTTATATATTTTTGTTTATAATTACACAGTAATTGTAGATGTTTAGTACCAAACTGATGACAAAGTGGAAAAGTCTTGCATTTAAAAATAAAATCTGTAAAACTCAAAGCATTAGGCCACAAACGAACATTAAGATTTTTTATGAAGAAAAATTTATGAGGTGGGGAGAGAAGCTAATGGGCTTTCATTTGAAAATTAATCATACTTGAATCAATCAATCTGAAAACAATACCAGAACTCAAAATATTCCACGTAGGAAATAAACAATATGTCTGTAAAACTTTTAAAGATATTCATATGTATGTATATCTTTAATTTTTTTCATAATTGAAGTTCTTCATATTTACAAAATAAAATCAAGAAATACTGAAAAAAGCAAATTCTTTTCTCTTTTTAATAGCCAATTCCTGTAAGGTGAATAGAAATGTACTCCAAGCTTTCTTTTGGTATTTGAAATGTTTTCTAAATTAAAGTTATGATTGGAAAAATAATACATCTAAAGGTAAGCATTCTATGCAATTTCCAAATCATGTGACTAAAAAGCAGTTTTAATCATTTCCATATCCGCATAAAATGCCCTGCTCTCCCAAAGTACATTCCTTTGTGCCCTGAAGAGGACCTGGATACATGAAGCAAACTCTGTCCCTATCGAAGGCCAGTCATCCAACATCTAAGTTCACCATTTTCAACATCCTCCTGGAAATAATTATGAAGACCCCTTTGCACATGTCAGTGTGTTAACAGAAAAACAAGCATTTTCAGCAGGAGAGCGAATCATGGGTCCTGTCATGAAAAAAATAAAATACAATCAAGACAGCGTTCTGCTTTGATGTGGAAATAGCAAATGCAAGTGAGACAAAAACAGTCAAAAGTCCAAATAATTTATAGAACAGAGCCATTGGTATTCCGCACCAGCACTCGCTTGTTTGAAAATCTCTGCTCTTGGAGGAAGGATTTGGCAACCACAGTGATTTAGCGGTAAAGCCATTTCAACACAGTAAGAAGTCGTACAGGCTGGAGTATTGCCTGAAAGAGCAGTGCCTATATGATAAGTATTGAACTTCATGGCTCATCACAACCACTTCTAAAATGTCAATCCTACTATCTTCTTATAAATTAAGTGAACTGCATTGTGTTCCATAGTGCGATGACAAAAATTTAAAAAACAAAAACTAAACCCTCATGCCTAAATTTAGAATATTGTATTGTATAGCAATGCAAAACATTCAAAACAAATGAAATAGTTTAACTTATTCAAAAGGCGTAGAAGCATTTCAGAAGCATAGTGAAATCCAGTTCTGTGGTGTGTGATGCATTGAGAGTGGACTCTAACACTATGTCCTGTTACAGCATCTGTAAATAAAAGCTCCCCGCAGGACCACTGTGTCTAAACACGGGCGGACAACCACAGACTGTGTTGGAGAACCTTTGTGAGAGTCTGAAACACAAGACATATTTCAGGTAGTCACCAAGTCATCCTAAATTTTCTCATGTGTTGGTTATTTTGACATTTCTTTCATCAGCTATTTCACTCACATCAACAGTACATGTGGTTTACCAGGAAAATTACATTCCCTCAACCAAACACCATTCCAGATCCGGTACACTCAGATAAATCACTCTCATTTGAAGTGCTACCAGCAGAGTCTTTGCAACTAGCCCAAAGCATATACTTAAGAAGTTTTTATAAATTGTTTGTGGTGTTCATTATTATGTTTAATTCTTATGCCAAACTGTTTTCTGATGAAGACAGCATTGTGCTTTATGCAGGAATGGAACCCTCAAATCATCACCATCGAGCTTCTATGACTTATGGGAAGACAAACTAAGATGGTCCACAGGTAAGATGAAATCCACAATGTTGGAATTATAAATGTTTAGAGTGGCCCAGACTAGAAGACAAGCCCAAACCACCAGTAGAAGATGGAGTACTATATGGTCCAAGATGTATCCTTAGAGTTTGTCTCAACCCTCAGTTTGAACCATGAGGATTGATCTTCAGTTCGGTCCAGCCAGCAGAAATTGACTGTGCATTTTTCCGTTGTATTTATTGTACAGACTATGTACATTCTAGGAGGTTCCTTTAGTGCTACACTGTTGTACTTTTTGTCCCAGCAATTTGAGGGCGTGCAAATTCCACAAAGTCATCAATAAGAACAGGCCATGCTCCTGAAGAAAAAGAAAAGAAAAATATGAGAGGAAAGGAACCAGAGAAAAGCAGGATAAAAGCTAATATTTCAACAGAATCCTGGTGTTTTTATAGCGTCCTCATAAGAATTAAAATGTTACTCTTCTTTACTCCCACTGATCCATCTTTAAAAGACTCCATCTTTATGTCTTCTATTAATATATTCCTGTCTTCTCTCTAATCTATTACTCTAAAATGGGGTTATTGCTTGATCAATGAAAACACCTCTTTGGAGCAATACATCAGTTACACGGAGTGTGGTTTTCTGAAGGCTTTACTAAAGTCAGGCAGCCTATCTCATGATGCAGCACCAAGTCCTCCAGCCCCCTCAGGAGCACTTGTCACTCTTAGTGAGGTGACCACAATGAGAATGGGGAGAAGAGAGGCTATGGCTGGCTAAGCCAAGTGGTCCCAGGGGACTTATACGGAGATAAAAGACACGAGGGATTTTCCAAAGAATATCCTACATTTAACAATCTCAAAAAAATCAACAGTTGGTTCTCATGAGGACTAGATAACTGCGAAGAATTAACTGGGAAGGCTGCTGGGGAGGGCACGCTATCCACACAGATGGAGAAATGGCGAGAAGGATTTAATAGATAATGGTTGAATGCAACTAAGACACCAGGCAGTTGAGGTCATTTCAAATTCTACAAATCCAGCACCCTTGATGAGTTTACAGACGAGACTAACAAACAAAAACAAAAATGAAAAAATCCTCACTGGATTCAAATGAGTATAAAATACATTAAGAGACTATAACTCTTACAGTAAATTGACCATGCAAGATATGGGTGAATATTTCTTATGCCCTTCTGGAGGAGAAATACTGGTAAGATTTTTTTCCCCCTGTAACTGTTCAGTGCAATGGAGAGGGCCCAAGCTCCACAAATGCTCTGCAACTGAGCTATGACTTCACCCACCCTCCTTCATGGCAGTTGAAAAAGAGGAGAAACCAAGACTAGGAACTTGGTTCTACTTCTATGTTACAGCAGGTGTTCAGCAATTATGCCTTTGTTTGGTCTCCAGCGTGCGCTCGCGCTCTCTCTCTCTCTCTCTCTCTCTCTCTCTCTCTCTCTCTCTCTCTCTCTCTCTCTCACACACACACACACACACACACACACACACACACACACACACACAGAGGAGGGAGAGGAAGATGGAGAGGGAGAGGGAGGGAGAGAAAGAGAATGAACAAAAGCTCAGAACAGGACTCTCACTTCCATGGATACAGTGGACAGAAGTTCAGGTAAGGCAAATATTTTTGCTACCTTCTTCATCATAGTTGGACATGTCATCTGCAATCATCGAGCTGAAGTCTAACAGAAGATTCCACGTATCTTTTGGTATTGATCGTTTATGATGCTCCTATTAAAACATCAAAAAACAAAAAGCCTTTAAACCTTGGAAACAGTTGGGAAAAGTTAGTCCAGCTGTTGCTAAACATGGGAAAATGTAACAGCTGCATAATGAAATTCTGGTAATCAAATTTCTCACTCTACATCCATGACATGTTCTGAAATTAATGATGCCTTGAAATAAATTAATATTTAACTACAGTATAATCTTAAGATAAAACAGAAACTGTAGAAAACGTTAACTTACCAACAAAAATTTATTCCATAAGTCTAAGAATTTAAATCTTCCATTAAGCACTAAGTTCCAGTAAGCAATGGCCATTTCTAGATCTGTAATATTAAAAATAAATTATGAACTTTAATGCTTTGAATATATGTCCCTGCAAAAGAACAGTGAGTGAAACAAAGAAAGCCATTTGCATTCTGAGTATCATAGATTAAACTTTTCTTAAAGACCCAAGTCCATGCTTGACACCTACTTTCTTCCAATGAGCTGCCAGGGCCTCTGGGGTTAAGAATAACATGACTTACCTTCACAAGGTGTCGATGTTGAAAGCAGATGTCACTGTGCACGTTTCCACTGTTAAATACTAATGTGTGGAGGTCCCCAGCTCAGTACAGACCCTTCCAACATTCCGGCTGTAGGGGCTATGTATGCAACATGGACCCCTTAGCTGTACCCAGGCCTTTTTCATCAGATACCAATATGTCCCCTATATAGCGGAAGACATTCTTGAGGGCAAACTTGCCCCAATTAAGAATCCTAGATGCACATCAGTTGGTTGAAATGCAAAGGATTGCTCAATTCCCAATCTTAGAAATCTTACACCCTAACAGTTGATGTCTCACTTGTCCTAACTATAAGAGATCAGAAAACTATTGTGGGCTTTTTGTGTTTGTGTTGCTCTTTTGGCTCAGTGCATCAATCTTATAAAATGCATGTGCACCACAGGGTTCATTCCCCAGCACCATGGAAAAATAAAATAATTTAAAAATTAAATAACAATAATAGTAATAATCTAAGATTTTTTTTTTTAAATTTGCCAAAGACATTAAAAAGTTCTTTATTTAGACATGGGACAGAGAAGGCTAAAGAAGTGATCCTGTCAACATCCACCGTTACAAATTCTAAACCTGCCCTGCGACAGAAGAGACAAGCTGGATCTCTTCAAGGAACTCAAGGAGTTGAAGCTGCCTTGCTTTCAAGAGGAACTGACATACCTCGGCTAAGTCACAGTGCAGGGACCTTAAAAATCCTTTCAAGCTGTGAAGTCAAAACCATTGAGCCAATCTGAGGGAGCCTAAAAGGCTAGTAAAGATTAAAATGGACAAATGTTGCTCAGACTTTTTAAAATAATGAAAAGAAATTCAATGCTTATTCCCTGACAAAAAGCACAGATGGTTTGTAGGAAATCAGTTGTAAACCACAAATGCTAGAAACCTCGAGGATCTGGGGTGGTCTGAATGAAAATGGCTGCCACAGGCTCATGTATGTGACTACTTGGTTCCCAGTTGGTAGGACAGTTTGAGAAGGATTAGGAGGTGTGGTCTTGTTAGAGGAGTGTCACTTCAGGTAAGCAGCCCATGCCATTCCCAGTTAGCTCTCTCTGTCCTGTGCTTGTGGATCGGATGTGAGCTCTCAGCTACTGCTCCAGTGACGCGCCTGCTGCTGCCACCATGCTCCTCACTATGATGGTCACAGAACTGCCCTCTGAAACTGTAGGGCCAAATTAAATGTTTTCTTCTGTAAGTTACCTTTGTCATGGTGTCTCAGCAGTAGAAAAATAACTAAGACAGGCTCCCTTAGTAATTAGACAAATACAAATTACAACAACTTTAAAATTTTGACTTACTGAGGTCAGAATAGCTAAGACTAGGAAAATAACCCATAACAAATACTTGGGAAAAGGAGAAACCTCATTCACTGTTTATAGGATGCACTGTGGAGAATTCTCAAAAAGCTAAAAATTAGTCTACCAGATGACCTACTCCTTAGCATGTCCAAAGGAATTGAGGTGGTCTGAATAGGGACAGCCTCCATAGGTTCATATATTTGGATGCTTAGTCATTAGAAAGTGGCACTACTTGACTAGGAGTAGGTGTGGCCTTGTTGGAGGAAGTGTGTCCCTGAGGGTGGGCTTTGAGGTTTCAAATGCTCAAGCCAGGCCCAGTGTCTCTCCCTTCCTGCTGCCTGCTGATCCAGATGTAGAACTCTCATCTCCAGCACCATGTCTGTCTGCATGATGCCATGCTTCCCACCATGATGGTTAATGGACTGAACCTATGAAACTGTAAGCAAGACACCCCAATTAAATGTTTTCTTTTATAAGAGTTGCTGTGGTCCTGGTCTCTTCACAGCAATAAAATATTGACTGCCTGAATAAAGTCCATGAATGAAACTGTATGAGGAGAATTCTGAGAGCTTGTGAGATAACTCCAAGGAAACAAGAAAAAAAGTCTTTTAACCTCTGTTTCTCCATAATATGGTTGTTCTTGGGATGTACTTTTGTGCTCCTCCCAGGTGTAGTAAATAGGAGTGGGTTACTTCAGATAACCCACCATCTATTATCATTTAGAATGATGTTTCCAAGCACAGGTTGTCCTCACAACTGCATACAGCCTAAACTCATGTGATCTAATACAGCTTGAAATCAATTGAACTTTGCTCATTTGACCTTGCTTAACCCTCAGAATGCTCCAGAATAGAAACTATCTGATGCTTTGTTAGTGACTGCATGAGACCTTAGTCCACCTCATTTTTAAGCTCTGCTCTTCACATTCATGCCGCCAACTAGAGCAGTAAGTTGGTACCAGGAGTCGGGTATTGCTATGAAAGGCCTGATCATGCTTCTTGTTGGCAGGATGTGAACTTTGAGACTTTGGATTAAGAAAGCAGTCCAGGGCTTTAAGTAGGGCTTAATGGACCATACCAATAGGAGCAGGGAAGACAGTGGTGCTAAGAGCAATGGAGATTATGATGACCCAACTCAAGAAGTTTCAGAGGAGAAAAATCTAAGTAGCCTAGAGATGTTTTTTGTGATATCTTGGCAAAGGATGTGGCTGCTTTTTGCCTTTGTTCAAAAAGTTTGCCTGAGGCTAAATTGAAGAGTTTTGGATTAAATGGCATTGGCAGAGGAGATATCAAGGCAGCCTAATTTTGACTCTGTCCTATGGCTATTAGTGATTACTTTTATGCAGATCTATAATGAAAAGGAGGAAGCTGAACAAAGAAAGATACAAAATGTACAGTTTGAGGACAAAAAGGAGCACCAAGAAGTATAATAGAGCTAAGCCCAGGGCTCAAGGAGAGAGAAGGTTTAAAGAAAAGCCTGATCCTAAATGGAATAAAGGGAACAGTAACCTCAAGGAAAGACCCCACCCAGCTAAGCTCCTAACTTGTGAAAAGGAACTAAAGAAAAGCTGAAGCAGTGAAGGAAACCATTGAAAACAGAAAGCTGATGCAGATGTACTCCACAGATACTTGCTCAGCTACATTCATTGTTGTTCTAGTCACAATAGCTAGGAAATGGAAACAACCTAAATGTCCTTCGACTGATGAATGGGTAATGAAAATGTGGTCCATATACACTATGAAAAGTTGTAAAGAAAAATTAAATCATAAAATTTGTAAATAAATGGATGAAACTAAAATTTTTTATTGAGTGAAGTAACCCAGATCCAGAAAGGCAAACACCACATGTTCTCTCAAATCTGTAGCTCCTAGCTCCAAATCTTCAGATGTGAGTATATAATTTGGAGTAACTGTATAACCAGGAAAGGCAAAGGGGATCATGGGTAAGAAAGGAGCACTAGAAAGGGTAAGAGCAGGATACAGGTTATGTGAAGGCTAAACATGGGAAAAACTGGGATGGGGAAGGGAGGAAAATAGGGAAGGAAAGAGGGAAGAAAGATGAATAACACTAAAGATATGTGAAATAGTCACAGGAAATTATATTGTTTTTATCTACTTAAAATTACATATAATGTATATAGGTCTATGTGTACATGCACAGACGCAGTTTAAGTGAAGTTATGCTACTTGGGGTGCTAATGCCTATCTCCAACAGCCAAAGACTAAAATCTTAAAGACTTAAAACAGCACTAGGCCAGGCTTGAGAAACCTCCTTTAGAGTTGTTGGCTGGGGGAATCCAAGACTCCCAAACAATTGCCTGCGGTTGCCTCCAAGAGGTTAAGGTAATTCCTACTGCTGAGGACAACATGCTTTGGTAAAAGCCTCAGAAGATGGAGCTGGGTCTGACCCAAAAGCCTTCTTCTCTATGAGGCCCAGTTTTTCACAGTACCAGAAGACAGTATGCAGACTGCACCGACAGAAAAGTGGTCAATCCTCTCCCCCCGCTGTGACGTCTCGAAACCACAATGATGAGCACTGCATGGCAGCCCTACGGGTGCAATAGTGCACTCACATCTTGACAGTCCACCAACAGTCCAATGGGCCTCAGGCCCGCCTAACAGGAGGAAGTCATGCCTTGTACTATAAATTGAACCGGTCATCTGTGGGTAGTGAGCTCATGGCTCTTAGATGAGAACCTACTACTTCTACTCTATAGGCTTGCATGATTCCTAACTGCATTCTAAACACTTACCCTTATACCCACACTTAAGTGTAGCTTACACACACACACACACATACACACATACACACACACACACACAGACACACACACACACACACACACACACACAATCAAAGAAGCTTCTTTTTGTATCAGACAGAGAGACCATTACAGTCATAACTGGTCAAAATGTAGACAACAACTCATGTGGTGTGCCCCAACGTACCATCTACAATACAACGCATATACCTAAGTCTCAGGGAACACTGTGGAACAGGAGGTGGAAAGATTACTGGAGCAAGAGAACCAGGACGTCTGCTACAAGACTGTGTCTTTTAGAACATGCAGGGCTTTATTTCTGAGGTTGTGTGATTTTGCTTAATATTATACATCCTGACTCCATCATTTTTCTGTACATTTTATGATTACAATTTTCTTTGTTTTTATATTTTTACAAATTTCTCTAGAGTTGAATAGTCTCACCCACCCACCCGATCTCTCTCTCACCCTCAATTTTCATTACCCATTTATTTGTGGATGGACAACTAGGTTGATTCCAATTCTTTGCTATAGTGTAAGATTAGAAGCTAGGACCAACAAACAAGCAAGAATATGCATTAGTCGTTCTGGGTCTGGATTACTTCAATCAGTATAATCTTTTCTAGTTCCATCCATTTACCTGCAAATCTCATTTTTCTTTACAGCCAAAGAGTATTTTCAGTTTTATTATTTGAAAACAACAACAACAACAAAAG